TTGACAAATATGTACTATCTACTATTTCTGAAAGATGGATGGAATCAGACCTCCTACTGTGATTGATCGGCAATGGCTATCACGCTACCGTATCTTGTCTTCCGCGTGCTTTTGTGTATTTGAAGGTCTCTTTACGACAGGGGATTAATGTTTTCTCGGTGTGGTGTGAAAAAATGCATAAGAAAATCAGCCATCAGTAAACTAGAAGATAATCGTGCAGCTTTAAAGGAAGTGGTGATTGAAACTGCAAGAAATTTTACTTTTCACGTAGACGGCAAAGATCCTATTAGATATAATTATGATGCATTAGAGAAAAACAGTTCCATAGAAGTGACAACCCAGAAATCAGTATTTATTTATTTTTTTACTAGCAATTGCATACTGTGAAATAGTTGAGGACGATTGGTGAAAGCAAATGAAGAGCATTTTGATATCGAAAATGAATAAAGAAAAAATTAGGTTTCTCAATTGTCGTTTCGCGCGTCGGGGGAATTGACTCCGCCGATCACGTCGTGACGCGCGCGCGCGCAGGAAGCCTCGAAGATGTCACGATAGTCTCGTCGGTTGATGTACGAGCTGTGGACGTCTGCGGGCGGGAGGTCAGCAGATGCGCTCGGGCGGCGCTATCGCTCCGCGCGCGCGCGTGCCGACTTGACACGCGCATCCTCGTTGTGAGAGGGGCCACGTGCGGGCTCTGCCAACACGCCGCCCTCGCGCCCGGCGACACAGGATTTGACGCCAGCCGCCGAGGCATGCGGAAGTGCAAGTCCTTCGAGGCACCAAACTGCTGTTCCAACTGCATTGCCTGTTGAGTGTGGAAAATCCAGGCTTCGAATGTCGAAATCCATTGACCTTCAGACTCACGTACTGATGTATTGTTTGTTGATGTTTTTTTGTATTCTATGATATGGCACCCGAAAAAAAGGCTGAATTGGTGACTTTCATTTAAAGTTGTATCGACCAAAAAAATTAAATAAATAAATTAGAAAAATCACGAACTAAAATCGTTTCAAATCTTCAGGATAAAAAAATATATCGTATGTAAATGTTTCGTATATTTATTCGTTAGATTAAATAAATAAAATATCCCTACACATTCGCAGTTATCTGGAATCTAGATTATATACTGCACTTACTATGCCCGTTAATTCATTAATGTCTTTATAAAAATAAAATAATTATTAGAATGTGAAAGAAAGTAAATTTAGTTAATAACCATTTTAAAATCACCTAGTAACTAATTACAAGAACGAGGATACAACTTTCTCGTTTCGTTTGCCCCTTGCGTTTTATTTAACAAAACTCAAAATAATTTCATGTTTGCCCATAAAATATCGTAAAAGATGTTTTTTCGTTGGTACCTCTTATTCAACTTCATAATGAGGGGAAATATGCTGCCAAACATTACCCTTCTTGGAATTGACTGTATTTAATTTTTATATCAATCTCGATATGAGAGACTGCCTTCAATTTCCTTCGTTATATTATTATTATTTGAATATTATAATATTCCTGGTGATAAATCAATTATTAAATTGTATTTTTTTGTTAGTTAAAATTACTTAATACATATTTAAAAGAGGCCACTGCTTTAAAACATTGTTTGTGAGTTACAGTGTGCATAATTTGTTTAAAAAAAATATGTCGATGCATAACGGTGCACAGAAGAACGTGAACAGTAAAATACGGCCCTTGTAGCTAGAACTACAGTAGACTGACCATTTTTTTTTTAAAAAGTGGGAAATAATATCACGGCATGGATTTTGCATTAGACGCCAAGGTATTCAATCTAAGAGCCGTTTCGACCCCGCTCCAACTTCTCCCCTCCCCGCGAAGCTGTGTTCTCCCCCACCACTTGCAATTTCGGTGCTCTCGCGGGCAGACGGCTGGCTCGTAAGTGCAGAATGTTCCTGGGAGCAGGCGTTCTGCAGACCTGGTTTACGGGCTACCGTTGAACTCGGAGAGACATTTTGCCGTCAATTGTTTTTTCGGATCCACGTAACATGGATTCTGACTCCACAACGTGCTAAATGAAGTAATTTAATTCAAACAGGAACCAGGTTTATCCACTTTTTCGTTATCTGGCCCTACAAGTAGAATTTTTCTGACGGAAAATAGCCAATTTCCGACACAATATTCCAATTATCTTTACTACTTACGTAGACTCGACAAAGTAAAAAAAAAGTTTAATGCGAAGAATATTATTTTTTCAATAATTTATTTTGCGTGTGCTCTTTCTAATTATAAATAATAAATGCATGTAAAAAAATTACAGAATGGAGAAAGTGCGTTTAGACTTCAAATTGTAGGTGTTATCCAACTAAAGCATTATATTCCAAAATTATTGGTTAATATTATTATTTTACAAATAGCATTGACCTGGTGTGTCGTTATTTTTTTCTTTTCAGTGGCTTTTGAATCGGTACGTTTCGGCATTACAAGTCTCCTTTCATGCTAATTACGAAAATAAAATTGAGGCATGTAGCCGTCTGAAGTGAGCTTTTGTAGACATGCAGTCGAACCCTTTTAATCATGGCTTAAATGAAACATTTGAGAAATTAATTTCAGTCTGTTTGGTCATGATTGCAGGGATGAGAAGGTGAAGAAATTCTATGAGCTTGAGTCCTAGCACGAACAAAGTACTGGATGCGAACGGCTCTCCTGAGCCGTGAAAAGGAGAGCAATTAAGCAGACAACTAGGGGAATGAGAGGTTCATCGAACTGCCCCTTCTTCCATGGCTTCGCCTTCGCCCAGTACTCACCTTACCTCACCTTGTGTCAAAGTTTGAGCTGGCTTTGCAACAGCGCTCAACGAAAGAGCAAAGGCAAATCGTTATTTTTTAACGATCGGTTAATTGTTCTTGCAATGAAACGGTGATTTGAGCAGTTCTTTTCAGAATCTGTCTCTAGATTCAACGTTAGACGTAAGTGAAATAAGACTACGGCGTACGCATTGAAACTTAGCTAATTAAAATTAATGAAGATTAGCAGAGACTCATTTGGCGACTCGTGTATTCATGGCTGATTTTTTTTATTTTATCGTACACTACTTGCGAAGTATAGATTGTAATGCTGCAGCGAAAAATGTTGATTTTTCAACAAAAAGATGGTGTTGTGAGTCTCTGATTACGAAAGAGTGGATTTTTCCCCCATATATGTAGTAAATTTCTCCATCTCCGTTTTGTTGATTGCCGAAAACAATTTTTTTTATATCATTGAGTCCGTCCGTGTGGCGCCCTAAACACGTGTTTCGTCTTAGGCATTAATTCATTCCTGCATTACTCAGATGTAGTGCAGTATCGTACAAAATATCCAATAATATTAGATAAATAAAAACCGTAAATACTTTTCAGTTTTTCTAATAAGCGAATCATAATCGTAAGAAATCCTGGAGGGGTCAACAATAACAATCAATAAAATTAATGCTCTTTGGGTATTCAAGCGCACTGTCTCGTTGTGCGGCTGGATGGGATTTTGTTGAAGTTGATAAATCAATAAGGAAATCTTTCTTTTAACGTAATCACTAGAATGACGTACATCAAGGACGATTTCATAACGAACAACCACTCGACTTGAACTTATCGTTTCTTGTACTTATTGGTACTGAATGATCAAATGCAATGTATAACCTTCATATAAGATTTGCAGTTTAGTTTCTGATACCAACCATCAATAGCTTTACTTTGATGCAACGTGTTGTGTTTCTTGAGAGATTATAAGATTAATGTTATTAGGAATTAGTTGAATTGTTACTTCAATTTACAAGAGAAGACTGTCGCGATTTTTCCTCTGTGAGAAAGTCTGAAGCTTTCAATAGGGTTTCACATACGGTGAACGCCCTCAAATACTCGAAACATGAAAAGTGTAAATGTGTATTTATGGACAAATCACTAACGGTTTTATTATGTAACTTTTTCATAAAACAAGAAATAGTAGACATAGAGATGTGCAGAATTCACCATGTGCATAATAAGAGTATAAGCTAAACATGTAAGGAGAAACAAGGTAGAAAACGGTTAAGAAAACATGCGTTTAACTTACGAGCTGAGGCTTTTAGGCATCCATACAGAAGAAATGAGCACGAACTACTTGAAAATGCGTATCAATCCGCACTCTTTGCTCTTTAAAGGTGAAATGATCTAACATTCTTGGGGTGGTACCAATGGCGTTGAGCCTTCTGAATTAAGGAAAAGGCCGATGTCTGCTCAAAAATAAATTCTATCGTTAGTTTGTCCATATTTGTGGAACTCTGTATAAAGATGTGATGCTAACAAAAGCAACAGACTCGCGGGACCACGACGAACAGGGAAGAACCGCCCGTTATATTCACGAGCCCCAAGCTGTCGCAGACTCGTTCCCGAGGCTCGCTGCTTGTTGAAGCGGTTAGCTTGTTGTTGCCTTGCGTCAATAAAAAACAGAGCGCGTGCTGACTCGTGCGCGCGCGCGCAGACTTCGAATGTAGCTGTGTATACAGATTATTATTATTATTATTATTATTATTATTATTATTATAATTAGCCCGTTTAATTCCTATTAGGGCAAGGCCCTCTAAGCACAGGGCAAGGAGCCTTACGTTATAAAATTGGTCCTCCAGCAGCGACCTCGGGGACCGTACATGGATAACTTATTGAACACTGTTTTTAATGGATTTCTCCAATTATTTCCATTTTGTACGGTCTTTCGCAACTCTTGACCGTTGATTACCTTGAAGTTCCCGGAAGTCATCGGTCCATCTACGATGTTGTCTACCAACGTTCCTCTTCCCTATGCGTGGATCCCACGAAGAACTTCTGGATGTCCATCTGTCATCTTGGAGCCTTGAGATGTGGCCTCCTCATTTCCATTTTAGTGGATGAGCAGTCAGCATTAAATCTTTTATTTGTGTTCTTATTTCCTCATTTCTAATTTTATTTGTTAAACACACCACATACCATATTCTAATGACCGTAGTTTTGACACCCAGAAACTCGAAATAACGACTACCTGTGTGGTGTCCGCAGCTGGCGCAGGCGGGCGCGCGCTGCGACTACGCGCTGTTCGTGGGCGCGTCGGCCGACAACCACGCGCTGCTGCCGGAGCTGGCGCCGCAGGCGGCGGGCCTCAAGATGTACCTGAACGAGACGTACAGCCAGCTGACGCTGGGCGACCTGACCGCGTGGATCCGCC